ACATTGGCTGACTCTTGTAAAATTGTTAATGTGTTGTCTATGCTGGCTTTGCTGGTGCTCTGCTCTCCAGGAAAGCTTAATTTGTTTTGGCACAGCAGCACTGGATCTTCCCCAACTCCATGTGTTATTTCATGTGCCTGAGCTAATAAACTGTCTTGGAACCTGCGCTTCTGGGAAGTGCTGTTCACTGACAGGCAGTTTGGTTCTTACTGAGTTTATTAATTCTAGTTTGTTGCTGGCTGTGCTGACTTGAACTGGCTCTTGGAGATCTGTTTGGTCTTCCTGCCCACAAGTTCTGCTTGTAAGAGAACTTATTATACAACAGGTATGAAATTTGCACAGTGCTGCATCCAACGTAATGAGCTTTGTGGAACTGAACATGAGGTGTGAATGGAGAGGTGGTCACTCTGTGTGGAATCAGCTGGGTCCAACCTGTGTAGTGTTACTGATTCCAGGTGAACCTTTGCTGGTGCTCTGTAGCACCTCTGAGTTGGTTCTGTAGTGTCTCTTTGTCTATGCCATCCTGGATCAAAGCTGGCTAGTAAGCAGTGTAGCAGTATTTACAGGATGTTGTGCCTGAGCTGCTAAACCATGTGTGAATCCAAACCATCTCTGCATCTGTGACATGGATAATAAGCCGAGTAATCAGACTGCTGATAACTGAGATCAAACATAGCCTGTGTAAATCCTTATTTTAATTTGAAATTGGATTGGAATTCCTCTTTTCTAGGTTGTTGTTGCACAGTATTGTAGCATTTGTGTACTGTATAGTAGCTCATTAAGAAATTTGATTAATACTTCATCTAGAATGTGATGTTTCCTACTTTTCTGTGGAAAAAAATTAATTGCACGTGCTGCATTCTGAATGCTTATTAATGAGACCGAGTGTATTCCCAAACCACTGGCTGTGATCTAGTCATAGTGTTGTCTGCTGTCCCCCAGCTATCATGTTTTTTACCTTGTGTTGATCTTTTCTAGCTACTGTTTCATAAGTGAGCTGATCTTTTCTTTGCAGCAGGCCATGTGCGAGATAGGATTGTAGTTGTATGCAGCTGAAGACAGGAGGAGCTTTGTACGTTCCTCTGCTGAGGATTTCACAAAGATTCTGAAAAAGAAATGACAAATGAATACTCCGCGAATAAGAAGCCTACTCATGAGCTTTCACATTCATAACATGGAGTATGTCTTTTCAAGACATAGGTCATTTATCTGAGTGAATTGCTTTAACTATTTACTGGAGAATTTCAAACTCATCTTCAGCGGGGCAGCAGTGTCTTCATTTCTGTGATATTTAAAAACTGCCAAAAATTACAAGATGCTGAGAATAGAGACTGAGTGCTACTAAAATTATTTTCATTTTCCTGTCTTGATTTGAATTCAGTTTGTGTGAGGCTTTTATCAGTATGTGTATCCTCTGATTACTTTGGTGCAGATCATTGGTCTGCACGTTAGTTGATACACACAATACAGATGATAACCTCTCCAGTTGTCTGAGCTCTTGGATTTTAACTCTGGCTTCCTTCCAGCTTGCATAAGCAACAGGTCTCATATTCAGTTTTTCAAATGTTTGATTCATGTACTAGTGAGATTATTTTGGGAAACTGTTCCATGTTTTTAAAAAAATAGCTGTTGTAAAAGAAAACAAAAAAGATTGTGGGGTTTGGTTTTGTTTTTTTTTTTTTTGTAAGGAGGTAGGGATGTGGGGTTTATTATTTTTATTTTATCTTTATTTTTTGTGTGTTTTTAAGTATTAATATACTTCATTGTGATGCTAGTTTCTGAATATGGCTGGATTCATTTGCCTACCAGGACTTTTTTTGATCTCTTATCTCTTGATTTAAGACAAGTTTCTTTTTCCTCTATGTATTTGTAACATTTACAAAACCATTTCTTAAAGCTCTTGAATGAGACATAGCTTTTTTCATTATTTTCTTTACCTGCAATTTACATCTGACGTTCTTAAACCATTTTGTTGCTACAGTTCTCCCTAGTACCAGAGAATTCAGCAGTCCCAAAGAATGCTTGTTCTTTTTCCAAGAGGCAATTTACAGGGACAATTTAAAACAGTTATTTAATAATGATAAGAATTTTTCAGACATGGCATCTGTAGATACTCATGTTTCCTGCCCATCCTTTCCTTCTGTGAGACGGTTATATATCTTTTTAAATTTGTTTGCATATTTAAGTTGTTTGGATGGATGGATTTTTTTTTTTTCTTTTTAATAGTTACTCTGCCACAGCTTAATTGAGAAAGCTTTGGTGTAAATAAATAGCTTTTGTAGTGGCAAGCAAGTGAGCTTGCCAGTGCAACTTACTTTGCTCAAAGAGTTGCTGTAAATCGTACTGGCAAAATAATGTGTTTCTGATAAAAACTATGTTTGTATTTGGAAGGTTTTTCAGTATTTTGAAACCAGAGAAATTTGAAGGTTTTCAGATTTGAGGATTTGAAATCCTCAGTGTTTTGGAGGATTGCATCAGTCATTTCCTCTTGAAGTCTTCTTGGACAGGCAGGCTTTTGGAAAAGTCCTTAAGTAGAAGGGACTGAATGGCCCTAAAATGACCAGTAACTTGCTGGAAAAATTACACAGTTGAGTGACGGAGGTGCTGTGTTCCCAAATGTGAATGTGTAGAGCTGGCATTCAAAGAATGAACAATGGTAAATTATAGCAGCTGATTTAATCTCTCCTCTAGAATGAATGGCACTAAAATGAATGATTACACCATGGTTATACATCCATGTTGTTTTTTGTGGCTAGGAGAAAACATTTGTTTTAATGACTTAGAGGAAGCCAGGTTCAGTGAAACACACATACAGTATCAAATTGCTTCTACCAAAAATTTTGCTGCTAAGTCTCATTTTTGAAGTGTGGGTAGCTGAAAGTGTTTGTGGGATATTTTTCCATTTAAATAGTCAATTAAGGGGATACCAGAATTCATGTCAGTCATTCTGGTCTATGTGTGAGTGCTCATTTGTCTGTTTAATTCTAACTAAAGGTATTTTGGGCACATTTAAACTCTAGATACAAAATATTAAACATATTTTTTTACTAGATCTAACTGTAGAGTATTTGAACTTATTCAGATTGGTTATATATATATATA